GGCCTCATGAAACGTGTGGAATCTACAGGCCACTAAACTGACTGGTCAAAGGCGTGTATTCTGGCCAAAGCAAGCTTGCATCATACGGGCGCCTGGAATAACAGCACATGCATACAACTGCTCATATGCTGAACAGGAGAGATGGGACGCTTTCAACAATGTACTTCCAGTGCTTACGCCACGTACTTAGGCATCCTTAAATATGCTGTGCCTTTCTTATGCCTATTATTCTGAACAGGGCTCAAGTAGAGGGTGCCATAATGTCAGTAAACTTTGTATTCTTTTGGTAGGTGTATTCTTTCACGTCTTCACTATGAGAGTGATGTTTCCCTGCTCCAAAGTGACTTCTCACGCATTCAAAAATGTGTTCATGGTGGAAAATTACATTAAATGCCAATAAATGCATTCATGTTACTTTCACATGTGAAAAAAAAAACTAATTAGCTTCATGTATGTAATCTGCCATAGTATAGTAGCACAAATTATAAATATTTAGGCATAACTTTTTCAGCCGACTGTTCATGGAATGCACACGTTCATTTAGCTGTTGCGAAGGCCGCCAAGTAACTAAATTTTATACAACGCAGCCTGCGACATGCACCGGCATGTTTAAAATTAACATTGTATTCAACATACATTCGCCCTATGCTTGAATACACTTGTGCCATGAGGGACCCCTGGCAAAGTACTTCAAGTTACAAACTTGAAAAAATACAAATTAGAGCTGCAAGGTTTGTTTTAAAGGTCGGTACTCAAGAATTTACAGTCCCACCAATATAAAAAATGAACTTGGACGGGAATTACTCTCATTCCATCGAAACAAACCGCAGCTACAGCTCCTGTACTAAATATTTCATGGTAAAACCGACATTCGAAAAGAAAAGTACCTTCACAGTCATTATATCAGTTCATGAAATGACCACTGTTTCAAGTTTTTAGAGTATCGCACCAGATCTAATAAAAATTTGTATGCTGATTCATTTGTTTGTTCGACTAAAGAATGGAATCGCTTATAAAATGAACAAGTGTGCTGTAATAATGAAGATGTGTTTTTTTCGACATTGTAATCCCCCAGTTGCAGCGCCTTCGGGCTAAGTGGGGTAATCATTGAATAAAGAATAAAGCAACAGTTGTGCAATGCTTTTTTTTACACATTTTTTAGCTGTTCACTGTAGTTGCAGCCGAAGGAGTGGCTTTTTAAGCTTTCGTCAAAGGTAACGCTTATTTTTGTAACAGTCGCACAGACTGCCATCAATTTCCATGATCAGGCCAGATTTTTCAGAAATTCCCTGACTTTTCCAGAAGGGTCCAAATTCCCTGACTTTTCCAGGTTTTCCAGGCTGGTAGACACCCTGTGCGCAGATGTGGCTGATGCAAACCTCTTTCATAACCACGTTACGAGTTACTGGGTGCACTGCTGTCATACTGAATCCTTTTACTATCTGAATCGGCCAATGCATGGCAGCTTAACAGGAATAAAGCAAATGTCTACATGACTTGTACGCTGCTATTGTTACTTACCCTCAACATACATTCCATTAAATGCATTGTCAAAGTGTACTTCTTCTGCTAGTGCAAGTGAAAAAAATGGGACCAAAATAAAATAAATAGTCTGAATGACTTTTAAAAATAGCTGCATGAAAAATCATTCAGAAGAACTAAGGCAAAGTGAAAAGCCGACCTTGCATTATTGCATATGAACGCAGCAGAGCATAGGTTGGGGTGGTGCGATACCCAAGGACTGCTATGACTCCCAGTATAATCTAAAAGTAAATTTAGCAGAGCCATGGTATTATCGCAGTTTCCTTAGCTGTGACTTTTCCTAAAACTGAGCCAAGGATGAACTATTGATGTTTGCGCTCAGTCTTTGGAGCAGCTCTGATGCAACTGCAGCATGTTCACTGATTTGGTGCAGCTTGGTCAGCAAGTTGAAAATGTAGCACTCTGGACAAAATTAGTGCTGCTGTGCTACTGTACCACCCCTAAAATAATTTTGTATGTTTCTATCCTGTATATTGCTTTGTGCATTTTGTATGTTTGTACAGTGTATAACCCCCTTCACGTGCAAATAATGGCGCACTATTTACAAACGTGTCACATTCATATAACATAATTCCAGGGCTCTGAATATTACATTCCAACAAAGAAAATTAAATATGTTGTTTTAGCAATGAATTATTATAATTAGCTTGTAATTAAATACCTCATCATTCTACAGTCAGTCATATTTAATTTTAACAAAAAAGGAATAAAATCATAGGCTCTGAATGTGTAAGCATTTTATTGCAATAGAAATTATATAGACACTCTCGGCTGGATTTTGCTGCCGGCGTCAGTGAGTGCCATCAGTGACTGTATATGCATACGTATCTATATATATGAAAAAACAATAAAGAAGAATAATCTAAAAAATGAGTCCGGTGGGCAGGATCAAACGTCCAAGCTCTTGCTTCTGAGTTCTTGGCATTAGTCACTGAGCCATGAAGAAACACCTCCTTCAACGTTGAAACCGCAAAATATTTATCATCATCATCAGCCTGACTACGTCCACTGCAGGACAAATGCCTCTCCCATGTTCCGCCGGTCAACTCGGTCCTGTGCTTGCTACTGCCAATTTATACCCACAAACTTCTTAATCTCATCTGTCCACCTAACCTTCTCTCTCCTTTTAACCCGCTTGCCTTCTCTGGGAATCCAGTTAGTTACCCTTAATGACCAACAGTTATCCTGTCTACGTGCTACATGCCCGGTTTATGTCCATTTCCTCTTCTTGATATCAACTATGATATCCTCAATCCCGGTTTGTTCTCTAATCCACTCTGCTCTCTTGTCTCTTAAGGTTACACCTACCATTTTCCTATCCATTGCTCGCTGCATCATCCTCAATTTAAGGTGAACCTTCTTTGTAAGTCTCCAGGTTTCTGCTCCGTAGCTAAGTACTGCTGCTAAAAGATGGAGGACAGATTGTGCTAGAAAAACTAGGGACTCTGTTTACGAGGTGTCTCCTGACGGGAAGAGTAGCAGAATCTTGGAAGAATGCTAACATCATCCTAATACATAAGGAAGGAGATGACAAGGACTTGAAGAATTACAGGCTGATCAGCTTGCTCTCCGTAGTATACAAGCTATTTACAAAAGTAATTGCTAATAGAATTAAGACAACATTAGAATTCAATCAACCAAAGGAACAAGCAGGATTTCGAACAGACTACTCAACAATTGACCACATTCATACTATCAATCAGGTAATAGAAAAATGCCCAGAATATAGCCAACCACTATACATAGCCTTCATAGATTACGAGAAGGCGTTTCATTCAGTAGTAATATCAGCAGCCATGCAGACACTGCAGAATCAAGGCGTTAACGAAGCATATATAAACATCCTGGAAGAAATCTACAAGGGATCAATTGCTACCATAGTGCTTTATAAAGAAAGCAACAGAATACCAATCAAGAAGGGTGTAAGGCATGGGGACACAATCTCCCTAATGCTATTTACCACATGCTTACAGGAGCTTTTCAGAGGCCTAGAATGGGAACAGTTAGACATAAAAGTTAATGGAGAGTACCTTAGTAACCTGCGCCTGACCGATGACATTGCATTGCTGAGTAACTCAGGGGACGAATTGCAATTCATGATTACGGAGTTAAACAAGGAAAGGAGAAAAGTAGGTCTTAAAATTAATCTGCAGAAAACGAAAGTAATGTACAACCTCGGAAGAGAGCAGCGCTTCGAGATAGGTAATAGTGCACTTGAAGTTGTGAAAGACTATGTCTACTTAAGACAGGTAATAACCGCGGAGCCGAACCACGAGATTGAAGTAACTATAGAAGAATAAGAATGGGGTGGAGCACAATTGGCAAGCACTCTCAAATCATTACAGGTAGTTTGCCACTATCCCTCAAGAGGAAGGTATATAACAGCTGCATCTTGCCAGTACTTAGCTGCGGAGCAGAAAATATTTATATCTACCACTTACTGCTGGCGATGCCAATCTCAGGAGAACTATCGTGTTTTCAGCATTACCAGCAAGATGGCGCAATGAGTGCGCGGCGCCAGATCGTCACGACGCGGTGACACGCGCTCATGTGAATATATATCACGTGTACTCTGCCCAGCGAAGAGGGGGAGGGGGCGAAAGGCACTCATGCGTGCTTATTTTGCGGTGGGGAGAATTGTATGCCTTGGAGTTTCACTGGAACAATTCTGTTGTAGTTACTGAGTGCACAAAGGTAACTGCACTTGCTGCGCAGTCTCCGTTTGCGAAAACGATGCGCTTTTCAGACACAGCGAAGTAACAAATGAGATACTTATTCACATTGACCTGTATCTGTGAGTACGTTTGCTGCATCATTTGTGTGTGAGCAACGTGGGGCACAATTCAATATGCTTGCCATTGTCTGCGTGACATTCAAATTTGTTGCTATCGCATTAATTGCTTCACCTTTGCGGCAAAGCTGTGACTTTTAGTTTTTGGCTGCATTCATTTCAAGAAAAGAAAAGTCATACTTTTGATGTTCGTTTTGGGACATGGCATGTCGAACGACCCGTCAAACATTGTGGTGCCTTCTTAAGAGTGATCGGCTACATTCATACAAAGCACACTGAGGTTTATTTGAGACATATCGGCTACAGAAAAGATTCAATTCATAGAATGTATACGTATCTTATTCTCTTTTGGCCACAGATTAACACAACTAGCATAAACAAGCTGCAGACGTAGTCACTAATGCTGAAGGGGATATTGCTCTTTATTTGTGCTTTATGATTTGCGTTTGCAATTTTATATTTACCAGCAAATTGTTACTTTATCGTTTTATAAGCATTCGATTTTGTACCCGCACTTTTACTTTTCTGTATGTTTCTGTGGGTATGTTTCTGTTTATGTTGCCAATGCTTGTGTGCAAACTGCTCTCGTTACAGATTGGAGGACCTTGTCAGGCATTAACGCCTTTTGTTCTCTTTTTCTGAAGTATAATTTTGTGCACTTGAATACCTTCTTATCCACCATGCAGTGTTGATATAAAAAGCACAGTGTCATCTGGTTTAACTTCACAGTCTAGTCCACCCTGCAAGTGAGATTAAAAAAAAGAAAGAGACATAAAAGAATGACTTTAACACCGTGACAAATATGGATAAAAAGAAAGACAAAGTCAGGCAACTGTGACATCACTTTTAAAATAAAAACTAAAAAAAACACACATACACACACACATACCTATTTTACAAAAACACACAATCTTTTGACATATTGTGAAAGAATATGTGTACTATAAGGTCTTTTGTGCAACTAGAGCAAGATATTTTATAAAAAATAGTTAATCACAGCTGAATAAAGCCAATATGTGGCTTGCTGCCGAGTGGTGCTCGTTTGGAAATTTTCTATATTTGTGCTTAATTGGTTAAAAAACTAAGATCACATATGAACTATCTTTAATATCCACTTTTGGTGCAAGTGCACTTTGTTACATCATAGAGGGCATTCCAAATCAACAGGTCTAGTTTTTTTTTTTTTTGTAATGTAGAAACTCTTTGGTGATTTTTTTTACAGCATGTAAATATACTCACTGAAATAATTTATTTTATTTTTATATTTAAAAATAAGTTTAGGCCTTCATTGAGACATTGTGTAAAGGGGGCAGCACAAAAAGTGAACTCATGTAAGGCTTTTATAATACAATATGCATGAACAGCAGTCATGTACCAGATCACATATGCGAAATAAAACCTCGCCACTGGGTTCATGCATAGTCGTACTGCAGCGCTCACAACTGTGATTCAAGAGCAACCGGCACATGGACCGTCAACCTATCACTTATCTGGACGATGGCACTTTCATGTCATGTGCAACCATCAAAAATGCTGACACACTGGGAAGCCAATGTCCAGACCTGCAGCCGCTCATGTCACCACAGTCCATGTGTTGAAGCTACAGTGTCCATAAGCTGAAGGGATCAGCATGTACAAACCCAGTGCATATTTCTGGATGAAGATACGAAACTACAAAGAATCGTCTTGTAGAAACCATATGGCACGTCTTGCAGTGGGAGCAATGAAGCTGCTTGGCCTCTGGACAAGCAGCTTTCTGAGTAAGAGCCCCGCCACGGTGGTCTAGTGGCTAAGGTACTCGGCTGCTGATCCGCAGGTCGCAAGATCAAATCCCGGCTGCGGCGGCTGCATTTCCGATGGAGGCGGAAATGTTGTAGGCCCGTGTACTCAGATTCGAGTGCACGTTAAAGAACCCCAGGAGGTCGAAATTTCCAGAGCCCTCCACTACGGCGTCTCTCATTATCATATGGTGGTTTTGGGACATTAAAACCAACGAATCAATCAATCAATTTCTCAGTGAGAACCTTCACCAAAGTTACCCTTAGGCACAGAAAAGTTCAAACTGTGACTGAGGTACTTTGCCAGCTTAAGCTTTAATGTTGATCCAGAAATGACTTCTAAAATGAACTGTAACATTAAAGCCTGAACTGCAACTTTGATTACAATTATGTGACCATTTTTGTGCGTTGTAAATATTCAGTCATATAATAAAATAATCAAAGCACTGTTCTTTTTAGTCCTTTACACATGTTCCATAACATTTTTTGTGTTCTCAAATTTACTGAAAACGGCTTTGGTTGTGCTAATGTCCTTATGGCAACACAATATCGCAGATACAATATTTTTTTATAATTTTGCTCCTTTCTTGGCCACATTTCTGGCTTTGGCCAAAGTTGGCTACTTGCTGAAATTTTCAGGCTACTTTTCACATTTTCGACTCAGCATCCCTAGAGTATGACATTCCTTTCTGTCACAATTTTCACTGTATCTCAGTAATATGACTGCAATATACAGTGCAGTCCACTTATAACGATATCGAGAAAACCTAAAAATATGATCGTTATAACCGGTGATCGTTATATCTGGACTGCCGCCAAAAAATCGTCGCCGGACGTACCTTTTGTAGCTCCAGGCTTCATTTCGCTATTTTCACCAATTAATAAATATTGTAGATAGTAGGATGTCAAAAACAAGACTATTCTTACTCCGAAGAACGCATCACGGGTTCGCTGAGGAAGAGAGACTGACCGACGGCGGGGTGGGAGCAGTGGGAGGAAGAAAGCACAGCCAGAGGTACACAGCCGGAATGCCAACGAGGCCCCGCCCCGATGCTAGGGTCCGATGCCGCCGCGCCGCTTTGCTTTTCGCTTTTTTTATTTTCCCTTCTTTCCCGCTTTCGTTCGGCAAGCTACGAGTAGCTTGCCGGCTTGCCGTTGTAGAAGGCGGGGAGCCGCGGAGCGCGGCGCTTTGCTTTTCGCATTTTTTTTTTTTAAATTCTCTCAGCCTCTCCGCGGTCGACGCGCGGCGAGGCGCAAAACGTGACACAGCTGGCGCCATCTGTAGCGCGTTGCGCCAACTCGCGATGCTCTCCTCGGCTTTTTGAACGGCCGGGACGCGCTGCCGGCGCTGTGCTGCAGTGGCGGCAGATACGTACTCGCCTACGCTAACTTTTCGTCTTGTCTCGGCATAGTTCGTTTCAGAGGAACTTATCAATCTAAATGTTACGATTATTCTGAATGAAACATGCCGTCCACGGCAAACTTTTCATCGTTGTATCCGATATGCGGTGGCTAACATATCGTTATATATGGTTTTTTTCCCTATAGCCCCAATGCATAAAATGAGACTGTTAAGTCGACCCATCGTTATAACCGATATATCGTTATATGTGGTATCGTTATAAGTGGACTGCACTGTACTTATTGCAGTCATATCATATACTTATTGCAGTCATAACAAATCAGGTTTTATTATACACTTAAGAGGTATTCGGTCCATTTGATTTGCCTCCATATAAACTGGTTCACTTCGTCTTCTCTGATTCATAGATGAACAGGTCAAGTTCAGACATTGTGTAGCTCGTGCTCAGTGTATGTAAGATGAATATTGTGAGGGTTATGAAAGCATGTTATGGTACAAACTAATTCAATTATTCCTTTTAGAGGTTCTTATCTAAAACATACTTAGCTGCAGGAGTGCACCTACTGAGCTATCAGAGTCACAATGATTTAACGCACAGTACTGTAATCACACCAGAGTTGAGAGCAAAGCACAGAAATGTCACTTACCAGGAGCTCCCAATCTGTGTCGTTCACCAAGACGAGAATTCCTGGCCGTCTGCGAAGTTTTCCACAGAACATCACATCACATCAACAGGGGCATGGCATGAGCAGAGGGTGCATGCACTATTCAGTGTTATCCACCACCACTGCTTATGTCCCCTTTGCCTGACCTCAAAGTGCATAAATCAACCAAGTATGCAATGGCCAGTATAAACCAGTCCCCATGTTCATCATGTGAGCAAAGATCAATCACTGGCTAAATGTGCATAGAGATGAAGTCAATAATAGAAAAATTTTGTCATTTTTATAGTACACATAAACACATTTCAACACATCAGATTTTATTACTTGAGTACAAATATTATATCTGCTCGATTAGCCGGCATTTGAAGTAGTTCAGTTTGCCAGAGAACTGGCTCACTGCTGGATCTGCACGGATGTCCCGACAACAGCGCGCATGTGCTAGGTCATTCTTTCTATCGCTACGAATGCAACCTATGAGTGTTGTGACGCTTATATCGCTCACTTATTATGCATAATGCAAAAGACCTAAAAAGTAAATGCATAGAAAGTGGTTTATAAATTCTTCAGACTTGAATAAATGTCTATAAGGACACTGCATCATCCCAGCTGTTATACATCGTGCTAGCTAGTCTAGGGCTTCAGACATATCAACCGCTATCCACTAAATATTTAGCCACACTGAATATGCTACTTATTCCTGTGTCTATACTCTGTTTTACCACTTTGGTTGAGCACTGCCAAAGTTACGGGGCGTAATAAAGCCACACGCTTGCACAGCGAAACGTAGTACCAAATAGAAATGCCGTAAAATTGACAGGGTTGGCTAGAATTGGCGTTTCCTTGGTGTGTTTTATGCCACATTCATACAAGATATGTTTATTTTTCTTCGCATTTATTTCTCACAGATTTAATTATTTGTGTCGGTTACTGCCAATAACTGTTTACAAATGAACGTGGCAGTACCCATGCAGAAGTGACTGCCCACTTCCATTCGGACTTGCTCTTGCGACACGCCCCCTGCACTGACAGCAGTAAACAAATGGTAAAATCAGCCATCAGTTTGTTTCATCTCACTCTGGGAATAAAGCAGCAGGTACCTTTTGCCGATATTAGCGAGATATGCTACTTGCTTAGCCGCAACAGCTAAGCCTAAGGCGCCGAAGCAGTGTTCGGACTGCGTCGTAAGACGAAGAACGCTGCCTCTCCAAATATCGGACGTGCAACTCCGCACAGCATTCTGTGCGCGTTGGATCCTCCTTCCGTGCAAACAAAAAAAGAGAGGAAAGGAGTGATGCAGCAGGAGACGCGAAGGAACGCGCGACGGAGAAACAGACCTACGAGAGCCACGAACAGCGTAGGATAGAAACAGCCACAAAGTGAAGTTATCCGCTGGCATGAGATTCTACCGATCATCAGCCCAGCAACAAATTTACGCTTCTTCAAGTTCCCAGTGTAGATGCTTCTTTAATAGCTTTACTGCAATTTTAAGTTAATAAACTAGCCATAATAACTACCATTAATTGAGCAGACACCGTGAATACGGTGAGCAGGCAACACGGCGCGAATGAATACATGGGGAGGGACTAAGCACCCTTCCTATTGGCTGTGGGGTCTGTAGCTTCCACAGTGCTGAAGGGAACTTCTGAAACGGAGTATAAGTTAGCAAGAACAGTCACATTTATGCCAACAGTTCATCATAGCATGCGGGCGTTCTCACTCCAACGCCGTTGAAAAGACCGCAGAGAAGCAGACGAACAGATAACAAAGCTGCCACCAACAGTGAGCAGTTGAAAGAGAGCTGGGACACCCGCTCACATGGAAGACCGCTATCTGTGCAGGTCAAGAGTACAGAAAGTTATGGTTCAGACATTGCGCAGCTCGAGCCCACTGTGCAGGCCCAATGAGACAAAAAAAAAAAAGAATGAAGAGATGCTGACTCAGTGCAGGCCCTATTTTTTGTCAGCGTAATGTGCACAGTCCACATAAGAAGGAGAGGCCGAGAACCACACATATGGTTAGCTTCAGAGACATAAACGTTATCCTATATTGTGTAGACATGACAGACATGTGTAAGTGTGGCTTTAACCATGCCACATGCTGCATCGTTGCTTCACATTCATACACTATTGCTTTGCACCCACAACTGCACCAAGCCAGCATTGGCAGCAGAGAGGGTGCAGGAAAATCGTGAACCAGCCTTGCTGCCTTTTGAAATGACAATGCCACACTGCTGAAATGAATGGCAAGATGCAGCACCTCGCAAACTAGTTCAGGTGATGCAATTCAGGTGTTCAGGAATTGAATAGATCTAATAATTAGACATGCCCAAGTTTAACTTCAAGTAAGCAGATAACAGCATGATCTAGCAACATATATAATGGTATTGAATAATGCCAAAGAAAGTCATAACTATTTTGCTGCCACTGCAAACTATCACCCAAAGTAAGCACTTGATTCTGCAGAGAGTAGGTGAGGCTACACCCACATTAAAGCATGGCAATGTACTTTAGTTTTATTTTATTTTTGCTTGAAATGAACCAGCGCCAAGAATTATATAGTTTTCCATTATCAAGATAGGAGCCGACAGATAGAAACACGTAGTAGGATAACCAGAATGAACAGAGGAAGTGCCTCAGACAGGCTGGTCGGTGTTTCGATAGGAGGACCTATCTTTGTCAAAAGTGGCTTGGTAGTTATGAGGGGGTTTGTACTGATGTTGTCTCCTGTGGTGGCGCTTGTCTCTACCGGTAATGCCCGTCTGGAAAGAAAAAATCTATAAAGCAGAAGAGTTCAGCCCTTGCCTCATCTCAAGCAGGGGTGCAATGACTCAAAGGATTCTCTTCTTGGAAGTAAGGGGAGCTGTAAAAACGAGGGGGGGGGGGGGAGGGAAGGAAAGTAAATGCAAAATAAGGATGTTGCAATTTTCTTCTTTCAAGACAGCAATTACCAGCTGGGACAAGCATCACCACAGGAGATGACATCAATACTAAACCGCCTACAACTAATACACCAAGGATGACAAAGCGCCTTTGACAAAAATAGCTCCTTCTATCAAAATGTCGGCCAGCATGTCTGAGGCACTTCCTCTGTTAATTCTGCTTATCCCACATAGTTTTCCATTATAAATTTGCAAGCTGAAAATGGCAGCGGCTAATTGAGAAATGGTACTTCAATCAGTGCTTGCAATGACATTGCAAAGTTAGCATGTGTGTAAATCACGCCTGCAAAAAAATATATATATCAAGTCACTGCATGTGAAACAGACTTCGCAGAGCAGAAAAACATACTGCCTAATTCAGAGGATTGCATTGAATAGCCTACACATAACTTGGCACGTCACAATAATTTTTCCTCAAGATTTTTCTTAAGATTTATCATTGGCTTCTCATTAATGTATGAGATGCGTAAATTCGCAATATGTTCAGCACTTCTCAAAAAACAACACTGATATAGACATGTAGGAGTTGATGGCATATTTTCTGTAACTGTACTGTAACTGTGAAATGACAAGAGACTGTACCACGTAAAAGAGTGTCAACACATCTATGGTTGTCAGCAATGAGGTTCAATACCTCTAACTCTACTGCTTTCTTATCAATCCCAGTGACCATCTTCCATTCTACCAAACAGCATCATGCAAGCAAGCCAAGAGTTCTCCCTTTTGGGAATGAACATTGATAAATGATGGTAATGTACCGAAGAAGGCTGAAAGCTAGTTAAGCTTACTTTAAAGTTTATACTCTAAGGACTTACTTTAAAGGGCAAAGCTGTACTTACACAGTGTTTCCCTGAACAAACAACTCTTCTTTTCCTTTTAGGAGGTTTGTCTTCAACCACATAATTAAATCAGACAAGGTGCCTAAACAAAAAAGATGAAACGAAAAAGTGTCAGTGCAGTTATACGGTCACTAAACACACAGCTTTGAATAAGTGCAGGTAGTGTGAACAGCATTGAACTGATGGTTACTTTCAGAAGCTCTAAACTGCACTGCTTTAAACATACAAGCTATGCCACATTGTCTACATGCTACGCCTATAGTCCAGGGACGTAGACAAGCTGTTTTCGGTCTGGTTCAACTACCCTTCACATATGCTCGTATACACATAGACTTGCAGAATTTAATAAAAAATTCATGGAGGGTGGAACCCCACCTTAATTACGCCAACGCTGTTGTAAATAGTTGCCGCCTACTGTGTGGGCTGAAATCATACGTTATGATTAAATTATATTTACAATTTTCGGGAACTGCCGTTCCATCAAGGTCTGAAGAACCTGATTGGTGTTGACAGTGCATGCCACGCGTTTCACTTCCTTCAGCCAGCCACGAGGGAAGTGAAAAATTGTGAAAGTGTAAACAATATGACATTATTACGTATACCTCGGCATAGCAGTCAGGAGACTCAAGGCGCAACGGAGACATTACAACTGCAACCCGGACTTTTCCACGTGCTAGGGGGCTCTCAATAGCTTCCCTGGCCATTGGGCTTCCCGATCATAAGCCACCTACTTTATTACGGCCTAAAATACTATTCAGAGGGCTCCGTTTGCCGACAGTGCTGAGCCTCGACCCCGACATATGTTCGTGCAACGCCAGGCAGAATTTTACAAAGAGTTACTTCTATTGGGATTGGCTACTTTGTTTGGAATGTCATTTGGCGCTTACATTTCTTGTGCCCGCTACGTAAGGCAACATCATGCTTTTTCTGATTCCCGAAAAGTAGCTCCGCGCCGCCCCTGTAAGGAATCGATGTGAAAACAAATTAATATAACCAGAAGTCGCGATTGCAGACGGCAGGCCTTAAATACAAAATATATGTACCCGAACTCGACTCGAACGTGAATTTCAGTAGTCATGGCATTTGTTATAGCGTATACAACATAAAACAAAGTTTATATGTATCTACACGCTTGTAAACTGAAAATCGCGGCTTCTTTACTCAGCACGAATAAATCGCCGCTCAGGCGCGCAACCATGGAGGAAGGAATAAACGTGCGCGCAACTATATTCTAGTACACTATAGCGCAACACACGTGAAAGCGCAGGTGCTGCCACGCACCGGTAAAGACGCGTTTGTGCAAACGGTGCAAACATACCAACACTTACAATATCACGCGCATGGCTTAGACATAAGGGTTAGTATGGGTTGTCACATAGTAACAACGTACAATTATTATTATTCAAATTTAAATCAACAGTGATTTTTCGCGCCATCTTGCGCCTGCTTTTCAAACGCGTTCAAAAGGCGCCAAACTCCCAATATGGCGGCGGGAAGTCCGTGCATTTGTGGTGATAGGAGTTTATTCGGTGCTTTCTAGTGGTTTTTTTCTCCAGTATTCAACATCCTGGTTGCAGTTTGTTGTAGCGACATGTTCATAGTAAATTGGTGCTGATATACATTTGATGTGATGGTTTTAGCTTGGTTAGGAGAATGGGGCTCAGAGGCTACTGAACCCTCGACTTGAAGTTTGTTTCCTGCTCACCGGATGTTACTGGTAATGAACGTTTCCTCTGCATGCGGCGTATGCAAAGTTTTACTAAGGCGTCAGTTTTAAATATCTGCGTGGGTGGAGGGGGTGTGCGAACCAACGTATTTGGCTCAATTGCACCGGCCGGGTCGCCGATGACAATTTCAGTTATTTGTTTAGTTGTAGTACTCGTTCTAGCTTGATCCGAAATTGCGCTTCCAACTGTGATACACATATTTACTCGTACTAGGCGCCAAAAGGCTGTTCCATTATCATTACATCAGAAGCCCAGTGCATTTCTTGTGCTTCTATTCACTCCCCCCCCCCCCTCTTTTTTTCTTTACTGTGTTGTTGGGCGTTCGTTACTGACCTACTAGCAGACGTTCGAACGTTAGCTACCGGGTGGTTACTTTGGCGATTGGGTAATTTCGGAATGACTTGAAACTTCACTCACCCAGTCTTGTGCTTCAAAACCAGACAGGCGAGTAATTTCGTTTTGTGAATTTCCTTACCCATTTCGGCCACTTTCGAAGACGCTACATAAGTTAAGGACTGCGCCAAAACTTGTCATCGTTTGCTTGAAAAAAAAAAGTCAGTAAACGCTAAACCCTTCGCGCTTTTTGTTTTTCTCTCAATTTTACTACTTAAAAAGCTAAAACTTGATTGGGTGATTAGCGCTTATGCCAATCAGATCGTACATTTGATTAATTAACAATTTTAAACTGGTGCAAAACAGACGAATGATGTACGAACTATTCTCAAGCGTCCGCCTTTCAGTGTTTAGTCTATTTCATTCAATACTGCCTGTTGACCTTTGGATAAACTGTAAGTTAGGGAAACTGGCAAAATAGTTCCAACATAACTGCTTGCAACTGATATTTGAAGAAACTGAGCCAGAGAATTCATCTTCTACTTTGTTGGATATGTGCAAGTGTTCCTTTTCAAGGGAATCGTCTCTAGCAACAAGTGGCACTTGTATGTGGGTTATCACGTTAATGTGTGCTGAGACTGGAATGTTTGTTCTTGTCAAGGAACTTGTGATCGTACTCACATATTTGGAATTCTTTTTAAACGATTATATGTCATTGCCTAGGTGTCAATACATGTTATCATTAGGCTTTTCTCATAGTTGATTAGTTGCTGTCATGAGAGACAAATAAAGGTGTATTCATGTGTTGTCAACATGTGCCATTTTGTTGTACAAATTTCATTTTCAACTGTGCTGGCTGTACATCAAAATTGTATCTTTGATACGATCAGTGTGTATGTGCTGTCTGGACTGTTAGTGCTATACTGCTAACAGACAGTGTGAATCAGATAGCTGATTATTTTTTACCTTGTTTCCTTAGCCGATTCATACTATCACTAAACATGCAAGTGGATGCAAGATATTAAACATTCTTATGAATGCATGAGGTAAAGTGTTCTTGTACATGTCCACTGAGCACCCCTTCTACCTTAGTGCTGTTTGTTTCTCTAACAAAGCTTTGTATTTGGAATACTAGAGGAAAAGTCTGGCACTATCAGACTTGCACCAATTGCATTAGTTAAGTGCAGTAGGCGTGGATGCAGATCTTTTGTCTTTTTTAGAATCATACTTTGAAATGGTGATTAGTGATCGATATTGATTGTATAGCTTTTCGGATCAGTAATAATAAAAGAATTTATTGCATTTTACTTAGCATTTTAATAGCAAAGTAACACCATGGAAGTAGCCCCATTGTGGTGGTCTAGTGGCTAAGGTACTCGGGTGCTGACCAGCAGGTCGCGGGATTGAATCCCAGCTGCGGCGGCTGTAGTTTCGATGGAAGCGAAAATGCTGTAAACCCGTGTGCTCATATTTACATGCACGTTAAAGAACCCTAGGTGTGCGAAATTTCCAGATCCCTCCACTATGGCATCTCTCATAATCATGTGGTGGTTTTGGGACGTTAAAACCCACATATCTATCAACACCATGGAAGTAGTACAGTGAGAGTGGAGAGAGTAGGGGTCAAAAAATATGGGCATCATAATCATCGAGCAGTCTTACGGAGCTGTTTATTTGGTTTAATGGCATGATTAATTGTAGCCTGTGCTTTTAGATCTGATATCTCACTATGTTATATGAGGATTTTTTGCAAAATATGTAGTCTCATTGGTCACTTCTTTTTATGGGTGACCAATGTGTCTCACTTCATGGTCTTTGGAAATCAATTTAGATGCTTCTTTTTGTGCTAATCAAGAGCTTGTGTGGTTGCATACACTTTGCCATTGGCTCATTATATGAAAGCTCATCTGCAATAACATGTCGTATATTTAGCCTCTCTTTAGCCCATATTTTCTACTATTACTGTTTTGAGAGATAGTGGGCAATATAAAAAATTTTGTCATTGTGTAATCAGTGTTTTGTTTGTTGTGGTAATTCCTTTCAATAAAGTGGCAATGAGGGCATATATTCATCACTTGTGATGATGATTCACGAGCATAATACTGACACCTGTTGTCGGTTCACTGCCTATACTAAGAGCGTCCTAATTTTCATGCTTATGGCAGAAGCTTTATTTCTACAATTTCAAATATAAGCTGTTCACTGGAAAAGGAAAAATAATAAATTAATGATTTCATTTTTAAAAAACTAAGTGATAATTTATTGATATCTACCTAGCTGCAAAGCAACGAAAGTGATTTCAGGTATAACAGCATGTAATTAGTAAGATGTGAATGATCCAGGAACTTTTAAAGCAGACATGGTGATAGATTGTGGGAACAAGGAATTCACTTGGCCAATTTGAAAGACTCCAGAATGCATTACAGCTTACAAATTGCTAAAATAGGCGCAGGGAAGATAAATTCGCAAGCTTATTTTTTGTTCTTTTCATACGTACTAGATGTTCTCTTCTTGCTCAGACTGCTGTACTTGTGATTATACTTGCAAGTTCTTACTCTCTTGTTTGACCTTTTTGATGCAATAACCATTACATAAACACGTCTCTTCAAATTTAAGCACTACTTTCTGTATTTGAATTTTGGATTTTTTTTCCTCCTATCAGTATCTAAGTTGTCATGTGGGCATGCCTGAATGTTTTCAACTGAAAACACTCAGTAGTGCCCTAAGGATATTACCTGTCCTAGATAAGCTATCTATTTGTTATGTCTAATGTCCCTACTGGACTTGTGATCTTTATAATGTCCAACTTTAAATGAGTTGTACAACTTGGTCTACTATAGTTACACATAAAGATTCGTGCGAAGCACTGGGAAAGGCATAATGTGTAGCCAGACGTAAAACTGCATGCAGGCACCGACTGACCGCTATCAGTTTTTAGCACCTCTTCGTGGTCATAATGAAAGTAGACTGTGCAGGAGTGGCGCGAACATTAGCAAGATTTTGTACCCTTTTTGCATGCTCAGATTTTTAAATAAACAAACTATATTGCCTGATTTAGCATGCATGTCTCTTGCATTTTCTCTTTGTTCATATATTTTGTACTGCTTTAGTGCTCCAGATTTTCAACCTTGTTTATGGTTCGCATTGCCGGCCATAACTTTATAACTTGACTCACTATATTTCAATGCCCCTTATATTGATATTGTGGTTTTAGGATAATATCACCTGGCAATTATTGAAATATTATATATTACTATTTTTCATTTGCATCAAATTTAGAAATACACCAATTTTTATGAGTGCAGGTGAAGTCACCAATCAATTTTCACAGTCTTATTCTTAAGACCCCCTTGATTATTCAGACTTGATCATAGCAGCATCACATACTCATAGAAGCAATGTGCAAAGGCAACTGCTATTCAATGAATCTCATAAAGGAACCTTTGTGTCACAAGCATTTTTGCTGAGGGTATAGAACAGTGTGCTTGTACATAGCATTTTACAGTCAACATTTGAAGTGTAAATCAATTTTTTTTTTCACAGGTTTTAGTGTTCATTGTACTTTGACAGCAGTAGTAAACAGCTCTAAGCTTGGCAGGTCTGCTTGTGGGAAAATAGAGCCAGATTCATGTTAGGTGTGGTGACATTTAGTAAAGCTTTATTGAATTCATCAGCTTTAATTAACATTAAGGTGTCAAGCATGGGACCTCTTCTCGTGTGCTTGCAAAAGTGTAAATGCATGCATATGCAGTCGTGGTACAACAGCACCATTTTTGTTTAAAATCGCATTTCTCTTCTCCGTGAAGTGAAGCTTGTGCCAACTCTGTCAAAGTTCACTAATTGGCTTGCTTATTCTGCAGTGGAGCGCTTCTGAACCTTTGAAGTATTCTCGGTCTGGCACCAAAAAAACATTCCATAGTTGAAATAGTCTGTCATTGATTGTCATTGTGAGGAAGACACCCATGGGCAGCCAAAATCTTTTCTTATATATTTTTGTGTTTTAAGCATGGGTCGGCATTATTATTTTATTTCACTAATTTTTATAGGTGGCCTTTTTTTTTTAAGTGGGTGTTCAGTTTAACAATTCACAGCTGAAACTTGGAAATTTGATAATCGGTGAGTATATGCAAAGCCTGTGAGAAAAAATTGTAGAAGTGTTGGCTGCATGCGAACTTCTTTAGTGCACTGTTTGACAGAAAAGCTTTATTATACTAGCAGCATTTGACCTGAATCATTCTGCTTCATGATATGTGGTACCATGCAGGTGCATTTGTTGCTAAGTGAATGCGTGGAGTGTTTATTTTTGTATACTAACTTGCAGCCGTAGAGTTGCCTGCTTTAAAGCTGTCTGCAGATTTTTCATGAGATTGTCAGTCAATTTCTAGTCTATGTCAGTTGAAAAGGGTAACGGTGGGCTTTTAGGAGTGCACATAGCAGAAATATACATATTAGATTACTTGATGGGGTACTTGGTTGAGACATTCCAAGGAAAATTTTAAATACATAGGCTTCATTTGGTTTTCTGTCATCTTGATGGCACTGTTACCCAAGGATGAAAAATGTATCACATACCACAGACTTGCTTTTAAATCTCCTCATGGTGCCCGACTCCCCCCTCCCCTCTTTCACCCCTTTTACTCAACTGTACTTAAGTGAGCTACTGTTGTGTTTACGTGCTAACCTTGAACTGTTCATCACTTATGACTGTTATGACACCGCCATGGCAAAGGCATTCCATATTATGCTTGTGGAAACATTTCACTACTGGAAACTGTGTGTAAAATATAAAAAAAAAGAAACAAAAGATGGGTTGATGTGCAAAGTTAGACGAAGAAAAACTAGCATTGACCAGTGATAAGTCTCTGAAATTTCACTTGCTCTAACTCACCGTTGCATATTCTGAGTCAGGTTTTTTTTTTTCTCTCTCTCTTCTCGAATTAACTTGAACTGATAATGGCAGTTTTGTAGTATTTACGTTCATTTTGGCTATACATTTGCAGTCTTTATTCCTTATTCTAGTTCGTGCAAGTGTATGTGCTTATCTCTTTAGCTTTTTCCTCTGGTATACTTGAGCCAGAATGATACAGCTTTGTTGTTATTGAAAATAGTGGTGTGTATTACTTCTTGCCTTAACCTACATGCTTGAACCATCTTGTATCGTGATGAGGGCAATAACATTTATTATCATTTTGTGATTAATATATAACCTTCTATAAGTTGGAGCTTATATTGATCATTGCAAACTATATATTAGGGCTTGAGAAAGCTTTTTACTCAGTTATCTTTTTCCTAATTCTCATATTAAACCTCTATGAGCTCTTTTTGTGTGCTGAAAGGATGTGCCAGAAACATTGTGTCAATGTTAATATTTTTGCTTGTTTTTTTATAAATTTTTACAGTTTTTAGTGTTTTATTTGATGGAGTTTTATAAAGGCAGAGATATCCACCAGGTTTTACATCGCTTAAATTTAATTTTTTGAAGCCTCCAGTTCTTGGTAATAATGAGGCAGGAAAAGGGGAAAAAAAAGCATTTGGTTTTCTCCTAATTAAGGTACCGCTCGGTTTTAACTTTTGCAGTTTGAAATCATTACCCAGGCCAAGTTTCATCTGTTCTGGTCTGAAACGATAAAAAAAGCAAAGCTCAAGTAAAAGATATTTACTTATGCTTTTAAAATATGGGGCAAAATCAAGTGAGAAAATGCGTGTGTGAATGAACCACAAAAGTTCTCATTCAGCAGTGCCTCGCCACTGACCGCAGAGTGGTTTAGCGTCTGACTGAAAGAAGCTTTTGTGTTTTGGATGCAGTCATTGTTTGGATGGTGAACCTTATCTCCCGAATTAAATATAATGGCAGGATATCAGTGTTGTGCCTGAACACATTATTTACATTTTTATTTAGTTTTTAAATAATACATTTTGATGAATTGGCATTGTAAAAAAATGCATGAATATAACAGCTTAATACAGCACACAGGGTATAGAATTCATATTGGCCATGTATGCAGAAACAAGATGTAATATAAGGCAAACTGCTTTATAAATAGTTGTATATGAGAATTCTGGGGAGCCCTTGTAAGGACTTTTTGTAACACTGTTGAAATGGAATCTTTCTGAGAAAACCTATCCAAGCAAAGTGCCCAGAGCATGTTAATGTTATGTGGCCTGAACGCGCCAGTTGCTGTTATCGGGAAAATATAATTCCATATATTATATGCATCTGTATATAAAATATTATTGTTAGCTATTAATTAAAAAAACAAATGCTTTTGTTTTTATGAATATGTGCTCCTCTACTGCATTTAGTACGCCATGTCCCGTGGAGCACTGCAGGGTGGCCGGGAATTGAGGCTGCGAGTGCGTCATAAGAAGCCAAAACGCCTATTGCGCAGTTGGTACAACCTGGTCGGAAAGGACCACGCCATCGCTAATGGAGTGGATCCTGCAGATGAGGTAAGGGTACTTTTTTTTGTGAGTGTGTGTGTGTGTCTGATGATTCGTCTTCAGTTGATTTTATTTGTACAGCCAACTGAAGGCGCTAGCAGCTGCTGGGATGATTCTTTATCGCCGACTGGAAATTTCACATAGGTGGAATTTTCTTTGGAAGCAATTCGTCATTAAGTGTGATTTTAACATACTATCATTTGAAAAGGTGGTGAAGGAAGAATTCAAAGCTTTCTAACGATGTTTTGTCTTCTTCACACTGCTTGTCTATATTGCCAATTCAACTTTTTTAACCCGTGCTATCTTTGCTTTTGTCGGAGAATGTTCTTTTGTTTAAAAGCAAGGACTTTCTGAGAACAGTGTTGACTTGGAAAAAAAAATGTAAATTTCACACGAATGTGGGAACTGCTTATGAATGAAGCTTCCCTTCAAGTTGAATGAAGCTTCCTTTCAAAAATATCTTCCCTTCATTTTTCTGCACTTACATGGCCCTCAGTTGTTTTGATGTTGGTGTGGTGTTGGAACACTTTTTCTGTCTGTTGGTGTCCCGGAGCTCGTGATCTTATTACTAGATGGCAGTTGAGCAATAACCCCACACGTACTGCCTGAAGTGATCAAGTGATTCAAGTCGGCCAGAACAAGACCCTCGCTGTCACATGCTACGTGACACCAACAGGCAGAAAAAGTGTTTCACGCTTGCCGCCATGGCTGCCAGTTGTGCTGACTAATACATCATCATCATCATCAGTTTGACTATGCCCACTGTAGGGCAAAGGCCTCTTCCATGATCCGTCAATCAAGCCGGTCTTGAGCTTTCCGTTGCTACATTATACCTGGAAGCTTTTTAATCTCATCGACTCACCTAACTATCTGTCTCCCCTTTGTGTGTTTGCCTTCTCTGAAAATCCAGTCAGTTACCTTTAATGACCAGCAGTAATCCTGTCTACGTGCTATGTGCCTGACCCATGTCCATTTCATCTTCTTGATTTTGAACTATGATATCCTTAACCCCAGTTTGTTCCATGACCCACTGTGCTCTTTTCTTGTGTCTTGGAAAATGATAAGTTACACTTATCATTTTCCTTTCCATCGCTAGCTACGTCGTCCTCAATTTAAGCCGAACCCTCTTTGTAAGCTTCCAGGTTTCTGCTCCGTAGGTGAGTACTGGCAAGATGCAGCTGTTATATACCTTCTTCTCGAGGGTCAGTGGCCGTTTGCCATTCATGATTTGAGAATGCTGGCTGAATGTGATCCACCCCATCCTTACTCTTCTAGTTATTTTACTTTCATGGTTTCCTAAGTAGACATATTTTTTTACAACTTCCAGTGCCTCTCGATCTATCACAAAGTGCTGTTTTCTACAGAGACTGTTGCACATTACTTTATTTTTGTGTATATTAATTTTCAGACCTACTTTTCTGCTTTTTATGTCCAGTTCTGTAATCAAGAGCTGTAATTCAGCCCCTGAGTTACTCATCAAGACAATGTCAGAAAATCGCAATTTAGGGTCTTGAAAACCTCCTCCTGTAAACATGCGGTGAATAGCATTGGAGAGGGCGTGTCTCCCTGCCTTAAACCCTTCTTTATTGGGATTATGTCGCTTTCTTTATGGATAACTATGGTGGCTGTGGATCTACTGTAGATTTCTTCCAGTATATTTATGTAGGGTTGTTCGATACCCTGATTTTGTAGTGCCTGCATTACTGCTGATGTGTCGACTTGGTCAAACGCCTTCTCGTAATCTATGAAGGCTATGTATAGGGGTTGGTTGTATTCCGCGCATTTCTCTATTACCTGATTGATAGTATGAATATGGTATATTGTGGAGTAGCCTGTATGAAATCCTGCTTAGTCCTTTGGTTGATTGAACCCTAATGTCGCCTTAATTCTATTGGCTATTATTTTTGTCAATAGTTTGTAGAGAACGGACAGTAAGCTGATTGGCCTGTAATTTCTCAAGTTCTTGACGTCTCCTTTCTTATGGACTAAAATGATGTTGGCGTTCTTTCAAGACTCTGGTACCCTTCCTGTCAAGGGCCACTTTATATATAAGGTGACCAGCTTTTCTAACACAATTTCTCCGTCATCTTTCAGGAGGTCCGTACTTACCTTATTCTCACCAGCGGCCTTGCCTTTTTTCATTCCTTCTCAGGCTTTCCTTACTTCCCCTGTCGTTACTGGTAGGATGCCGAAAGAGAGAGAGAAAAATAACTTTATTTAATTGAAAAAAAAAATTTACAGAGGAATGGCGATCAGGCCGTGCCTGGCCGTCGCCTCCTCAGCTCGCTGTATGGCCCGGAGCTGTAACGCTAGGCTCGTATCTCGGAGTACTCTTTCCCATGCCTCGGACGAGGGAGTGGTCAGGAAATCAGGCGGGGGTGGGTCCTCACTGCAGTCCCATAGTATATGAGAGAGGGAGCCAGATTTTGTGCAATGCGGACCGAACAGATCGGGGTAAATGTGTGTGTATACCCGCGGGCATGGGAGCGAGTTCGTTTGGAGGCGGCACCATGTGATTTCTTGTGGTTTTGTGAGTTAGGAATGCGGCGGTGGTTTTGTTCGACGTGCGAGGCGATAGTGCTGAGCTATTTCGTGATCGGATATGAGGGGCTCGCCGGTGTTCTCTGGGTTCGTGGCGGGGCCCACCGCTCGGTTGACGAATTCTCGAGCTTGTCGGTGGGCGGCCTCGATCCCCAAGTTTCCTGCGTGCGCCGGGACCCAGATAAGAGATATGGGAGGCGGATCCTCGTCTTCGAGGTAGGCGGGGGACTCGAGGAGCCTTAAGGTACCGGGAGCAATGGTACCGCGAGCGAAATAGGAGATAGCAGTTTTTGAGTTGTTGAGGATCGTAGTGAACCCGGAGGACACCGCGAGAGCTATAGCCGCTTCCTCGGCTTCGGCGGGGTGGAGGGCACGGACAGAGCCGGCTATTCGCAAGATTGCATCGGTGTTGAGGGGGGTGCGAGTAGTTATTTTTGCCAAGTGCGTACGCGCTTGGCTGAGAGAGGTAGCGGGCCGCGTCCACGTAGGCCACATCGGGCCGCGAGGCGTAATCCTCGTGTAAGGCTTGTACTCCTGCTTGCTGTCTACTGTCGTGGTGTCCTGCAAGCATGTTTTTCGGCAGTGGTTTGGTGAGAAAACAGTGACGTAAAGTCGGAGTATAGAGACCGGGTCTGCGCCCGATGGCGAGGTGGTGAGTCCTGTGCGAGTGAGTATCCAGCGGCCGGTCTTGCTACCGTTAAGTCTCTGAATCTGTGCTGTGCGATGCGCTTCGATGAGTTTGTCGACAGTGTTGTGGATGTCGAGGCTGAGGAGATGCGACGGAGAGGTCGTGCGAATGAGTCCAAGAGCCGTCTGGTACACTTTGCGAATAAGTTGGTCCAGTTTGTCCCTCTCGCATCCCAGTAGGCGCAGACATGGTAGCGCGTACATGAGACAAGATATGACGAAGACGTGGATAAGCTGGACTAGCTCTTTTTCTTTCATGCCTTGCTTTTGAGTGGACAAGCGACCAATGAGGCGGGTTGTTTGAGTGACGGCAACGGTGAGGCGTTCCAGTGCGATGGTGTTTCGTTGATTTGATTAAATGAATAGGCCTAAAATGCGCATGTGGTCAACTTGTGGTACGGCTACACCAGTATTGACATAGATTTGGATGGCCGGTTTGGGAGGGTGCTTGTTCCGACGGTGGTCGGGAGGACGAAGCAGGTAGGATGTCGAATTCCTCTGGACTATTATTGTTTCTCACGATATCATCCTGGTTGTTTTGGCTGCTGTACAGCTCTCTTTGTAGAGCTCCTTTGCCACCTTGGCTATCTTATCCATATACATAGTGTGCACGTGCGTCATGCAGCGCCCCTTCGTCACTTCTGGAATGCGCCACGGACATGCCCGGGTACCTACTGACTCCGTCGCCTACCGCTGCTGTGTTATCTCCTCATGCTTGCACCCATTTAGTTTTGCCTCACGATGCAAGTTTGAGGGCTGCTAATGAGGCAAGTTGATTTAGTAGTCCCCGAAGAGGGAGCAGAGCTTCGGGGTGTTTCTTCGCCGAAAGTTATTACCTAAAACTGAGAGCGCACATTGCAATTTTCAGAAAAGTACCGGTTTGTTTGGCTGGCGCAGATTAACAAAAAAACTACTCGAAGAAACTCGGTGATATTTGCGTCTTCAGGTGTAACTTCATTCCGGGTAAGTGCCATAGCCAAGCACTTACCTGCAAACAAAGAACTCACTAAGATACTATACATACAAACTCGTCCGGGACCACTGCGTGCACAATCAGCGTGTCAGGGAGGCGGTTAAAATCGTGATGGCGATCGTGGAAATTCGGGTATTGCATTGAAACAAACTGTGAAAATGGATGCGAAACAATATTAGTTCACTTTAAAGTATAGCCGATCAGTTCGAGTTGAGTCAGTGAGCAAACTTTATTTAACCAGCGGATTGAGGCGTGGGCCTAAGCCGCACCAGGGGCGGTGGAGAGACCCTGTCTCTCAGCCGCCTCTCGTGCTCGCTGGATGGCCCATATTTGATCTGTCCGATCTGAGCTGATCAGCGCGGCTCTCCACCGCGCCCCAAGCTGTTCTGGGGAGACTGCATTGGCGTCCTGTATCTGTGTGCATTCCCATAACATATGCTCTAGGGAGGCGCGTCTCATGCTACATAGTTTACACGAGTCACCTGGGTATAGTTCTGGGTAGATGCGATTTAGGTGCTTCGGGTTGGGAAATGTTCTAGTTTGAAGTCGCCTCCAGTCAACCTCCTGAGATCTGTCTAATGTGGAGCTAGGTGGTGGAAATCTGCGCCTCGACTTTTGGTAGAATTGGATAATGTCACAGAACCTAAACATTCTGTCCCTTTCCCACCACTCATCTCCTCCCAGTACCTCATGTGAAGCTCCATTGCGAGTGCGGTAAGTGAGACCTCGCGCTACGCGGTGAGCCTCCTCGTTGAGGTTGGGAATGAGCGACGCACATGGGGTGTGGGATGGGAACCATATAATGTAC